CCTTCCTGTTAAAATTCCATTCCCACCTTCTCAAACTTGTTGAAAATTCTCATCCGATGGAACAACCTAATTGGGTTGCCTACAAACAGAAATGGCCTCTGCTAAATGTTAGGTTCTCTTTGTATTTTGATGATGTTTTAAAACCATGATTCAAAAGTATTTAATCTATTTTTGTGTTAAGTGTGCAGGAAAATTAATCCAAGGTTTCTAATCTTTCCCCACGATTAGAATTAATTCATATTCCTCCTTGTTCAAAGTTCTGGGTTCGAACCAATTTATTTTGGTTCGAATCAATCTCGGACTTTTGTTTTCCGAAAATGGTTCGAAGCAATATTTCTGGCTTCGAACCAAAAATTCTGGAAAGTTAATTTTGACAGTTCAACTATCTATTTACTCTTAATGGGTCATAGGGGATCTAAATGCCTTAGCACTTTCCAAGACAAGTTAAAAAAAAAGGTGGAACCTTATTGGAGCTTTTGTGAGGTGGCTTTGAAGGGACTTTAATTGCAAGGCTCCAAATCTCTATTAAAATGACCAAAAATCAGATCTGGAAAAACAGAGAAAAGAAGGACGACTGCTGCAGAAAATATAGTTTGATATTGTTCTGGGTTTCCTTCTTCTTTTCTTCTTGTGAGGCTTTTGGGTATATTGTCTTACAAGAGTTTTGTATTCTTCTTGGATTGGGTTAATCCTTGAAGGGGTTGAGTGAGTTGAGATTCACTTGTAACGGTTTAATCTTGCACCCGCAAGCAAGAGTTTGTTCCGGTTTAATCTTGCACCCGCAAGCAAGAGTTTGTTCCGGTTTAATCTTGCACCCGCAAGCAAGAGATTTCTAGTGGATTGGACTCTCGAGCAAGTAGGCTTGGGGAGTGGACGTACTCCGGGTTGGAGGAACCACTATAAATCGCGGCTTGATTTTCTCTTCCCTCTCTTTTATTTTTCTGCACTATATTACTCTTGTTTATTCTGCATAATAACTTATAAATTGCTAGCTGGGATTACACTAAAGCCCTAATCTTTCTTCCTTGTCACTTTGCTCATTTCTGCATCTATGAACTTCTTTTGGGAAGAGTAAGCACAGTGATGAAGAGTTTATAAAATCTCGTTAATCCGAAGTTTATCATGAGGATGAACACTCTCATCCATTCTAACAATTTCTAAGCGCCTTCTCTTCCTCCAATTCTTTGATTTCTCTTCTAATTATTCAGTTTTTGCTTCTAAAATCAAAGTCCTGAATCTAGGTTGAAATTTTAATTTTAATTTCAGTTCTCCTAGCATCGGAATTTGAAATTAGTGATTTTAACATCGTAAATTTGGAGAGATCTGGTTAATGTGACTCTTAATACGAGGAAGAACCTGATATTTGTTCATAAAATTGAGACTTTTGGACTTTTAAGCTGTCTCTAATCTTCAACCTCCATTTAAGAAAAAGGGGCTTCAATTAAAACCCAAGTCCATTTTTGTGGATTCATAATGGTTTGTACAGAAAACTACATTAAAAATTTTGGCAAATTTGTGGAAGCGAAAGGGCTCCAATAAACAGAGTCTTGAATGGGTCTAAAGATGGGGTTATACCATTTATTTTCTCAAAAGGAGTTGGATTTCGTTCTAGAAAATTCCAAAGAATTAATCTGGTTCATTACTGAGCAAAAAGAAATCCTAGTTCATTGATAATAAAGGCATGATTTTGTTTATTTATTTGTTTGAATATATTTTCATTTGTGAAGCATTTTTTATTACAAAATAAAGGGCAAGCCTAGCCATAATAATATGATGTCAAGATATGTAGGACTGCCCCGGCTATGTAATTAAATGTTTATGTGTACTTAGTTAATTGGCCTATTATTGAATGATATGTAACTTGGTGAGGCCTTTGAACTGTCAAGTTTAAATCTCATATCACAAAAAATGTAAAGAAAAAGAAACTAAAGTGTTTAACTATTATGTCA